AGAGATTCGAACAAGAATATTTAACAAAGAAGATACGTCCGAAGGGGCCGAAGTTATGATCGGCGAAAGGTATGGGCTAGTCTATATTTTCGTTCAGACAATTACATGCGTATTAATTTGATAATATACTATCTCGCCATAAATCGCAATAATGTTGACATTTTACTAAAACTATCGATAGAAATTAGGAGATATTTCTTCACTGAATCGAACAGTGGGATTTCCATATAAGGCCTATCAGTCATGTTCTGAACCAAAGATACTTGATAGATATTAATATATACGAACCTCCAAAGTATAAACAAGGGGCCGGTTGATGCAGTAATTATCAAATAACAGTTAAACTCTTATATATACCCGTTGAATATGTATAGTTGTAAACAAATAAAAACTATCGTTCTATAAGGTTCAATACTTTCAGTTTGGTTATTGACTGATGATGAATCTATAGTATAGACTTGCATGCTTTGTATTTTGAGCTTATTAAACCACCGTTTTAAGGCAGCTAAACGGCTAAACGGGCTTGGTTTATATTAACACATAAAATAAATTCCTTGATTCTCATTACAGTCGGTTTCACAAAACTTTTGCCAAAATGTTCCAAACTTCGTTCCAAAGTTCGCAAAGTTCGTTTCGAAGTTCACAAGTTCAACAGTGAAATTCACAAGCCGGTTTGTAAACAAGACCTCTGATTGGTCCATGAATTGAAAGAAGCCAATCAAATGCTTAGTTTACAAACCAGTTTGTGCACTTATGAACTTGGAAACTTCAAACATTGGAACTTCGAAATGAATTTGCAAACTTTGAAACGAAGTTCGGGATATTTTGGCAAAAGTTACGTGAAATCGACTGTAATACCAGACACAGTCTACACTTTGAAATGTCGAAGACAGTGGGAGATTTATTTTTTATATTTTATATTTATATAATTTATATATCAATAGTTCGTATCTCCACGAACAATGACAGAATGACTGAGTTTCTTTAAAATACAATGAAATTTCACTCAAAATTCTGTTTGTTTCAAATTAGAAGTTTAAAATGGCAATAAAAACTCTATATAAAATATGAAAAAATTAACTGTCTTGAATTATTTTGTCGGGCGGTACATTTATATTGTATAACGAAAAATAAAACGTTTTCACGAGGATTTTAAAATTCAGTCGGGCGGTGATGAGAATAAAGGAATTTATTTTATGTTGGGCAGTTGGGACTTGGGAGCAGCTTGGGAGTGGCTAATTTTGAATATTTACTTAATTAATGCATCTATAAATAGCGTTGATGCTCCAGGGGCGGTAGTTCATTTACACCCAGTTTTGCGGCAGGCGGTATTTCCTACGTACCGCCTGCCATGCAGGCTACACACGCCTCTAAAATCACACTATTCCCTTTCTTCACCGCCCGCACTAAACGCCTGCTACGCAGGCTAAATGTCACGTGACTGGACAAACTGACAACTTTTTTACCGTAACAAAGTGGCAAGCCATATATGGCTTGCCACAAAAAGACTGTAGAGGCAGTTGGACCCAATTTTTCTATAAATATAGCTGTAGTTTAATGAAATAAGATATTTTCAAATATTAGGGAAGCCTCACATATCGATTTTGTCCATGAAAAACGTCATATGTTCGTTTCTCTGG